TCGACTGTTTACCGACCAAACAGTCGACTGTTAGCCGACTGTTAACCGACTTAACAGACACGACTTTTAAGAACAGTATGTCTGTTCGGATTTTTGAGACTTGTCTGAAAGGTGATGACTGTTCGAATGGCCACGAACAAGTCTATAAATAGCCAGCCTTTCTAACAGAAAATTTACACCATTTTCATTGCAAACTTTCTGTGCTTTGAATCTCATTTCCCTCTCTCTCGTTCTGATATTGTCTCGAAGTCAAAAACACTTCTTTGAGTTCGTTGGAACTCCTACAGACTGCAGTGCTGCTTCCGTAGGAGACGAAAAATTCGTTCTATCCTGGGAAACGATTGCTGGACGCCTTTAGCACCATTGAAGGCAGCAAATTCGTTTTAAGGACACATCGTGAAGTCGGTGGGCTCGAATTACAATTTCTGATCCTGTTGATCAATTCCTGCATTCAGGTAATTCTGTCCGATTGTTTTTCGAAGGAGTGAATTCAAACTCTAGAAACAACATTAAGGATCTATTCACAATGGCGTCTTTCTAGATTTCGGAGCACAAATAATGTATATGAGTAATCACGCATAAGGGATGCAAAATTGGTGGCTAAGCAAGCATATCTCGGTGTCAAAACCTTTATTGATGGTCTGCATGGTCTAGTCGTCACCCTTCATAGGAAGTTCTTAATAGTTTCGGAGTACAAATTGTAACTGTGATGTCTTAGGTCCAATCGATTTTAGACATAAATACATGTAATATATAATTGATGCATTTTATTTATAGCAGATTTGCTATTTAATTGAATTAATATTCTAATAAATTAAATAATAGAGTCCGTAGATTCAAATCTTGATAATTTTTTAGTTACAAGAAGTTGTGATTGTGATATATAAATTTACATATGACCAAAATTTAAACTATCCATGACCTTAAGTAATAATGAAATACGAATATCATTATTACAAATAGACCATCACATATGATATTTTTTTACTTGTAAAGTAAGTAACTGATCTCACATGCTAAAGCGTAACGATGAATGTTTTGTTAAGAGAATAAAATATTGGAGACCGTTGAAGAGATTCTACATGGATAACTATGCGAGTGTCAATGATTTATCTCTAACGTTCAGTAGTGGAATTGGTCATTTGACTTGAAGTCATCATAGTGTCTTATACGAGGACAGTCATATTTTGATGACGTTGAATGTTGCTCTATCAAGAGTCGTTAATATGTTATCTTTCAAGATGTCAAGAATCATATAAAAATTGTGAATTATCAATAAAGAATTTTTCACATTTTGATGGTAAGAGATTATGATATACATTTTATTTAGTTAAGTTGATATTGAAATTCTTGGTAAAAGTGTACTCATAGGTTGAAAAGAGTTTTTGATTTGTTGACTTAATGATAGGATAAAAGATATGATAGATAATCGAGATTAACATACTTCATATCTCATAATCAATTGGATCATTTGATAAAGGGATTATAGTTTCACCATTATGAAGTATCTCATAATCAATTGGATCATTTGATAAAGGGATTATAGTTTCACCATTATGAAGTATCTCATAATCAATTGGATCATTTGATAAAGGGATTATAGTTTCACCATTATGAAGTATCTCATAATCAATTGGATCATTTGATAAAGGGATTATAGTTTCACCATTATGAAGTATCTCATAATCAATTGGATCATTTGATAAAGGGATTATAGTTTCACCATTAAACGAACAAGTTTGATTTTGTTATAGCACATGACATTTTTGTCACATGTGTTATCCTGACATATCACTAGACATCAATTTGAGACGACGAATGTGAATAAATTAATTTAAGTAAATTAATGATAAACTAAAATGGTGTTTTAATTTATTATATTTTGATTAGATCAAAACAATAATACATGTCGTTAGACATTTTGATAGAAAACCAAATGGACCACACACAAAAGGAGAACTAGAAGAATAATACTACTAATTAATTGACAAGTGTTGGACACTTGTAAAATTAATTAATTGAGTTACTTATTAATAGGTAAAATTAATTAATAATTAAATTAATTAATTGATCACATTTAAGTAATTAGATTAAGGGAAAACTTCATTACAAAGAGGTTAATAATTACCCATTTCAAAATTAAGAATAAAAGTTTCAAATTTCAAAAATAAGATATTTATTAATATTTATTTATGATTTAATTAATTAATTAATTAAGGATACAGATCTATACAATTTGATCACAAATTCACGATTTAGTTAGTCATCCATTATTTTTCGATCACAAATCAGAATTTTTATGTCACAAATTATTTATGATCACAATTCAAAAATTTTATAGATCACAGATAAAAAAAATTTATATGTCACAATTTACGTATTAATCATAGATCACAAATATCATAAGTCACAATTTATTAAACAATCACAAATTAAAATTTTCTTAGGTCACATGTTATTTTTTGATCACAATTCCTCTTTCTCATTGGTCACATGTTCTTTATTAGTC